AGCGAGCCCCGCCTCCCCCTGCCCCCGAGCCCACCCCTTCACAGGTTCGAGCCCCGCCCACTGCCCTAGCCCCGCCCCTCCCTAGCCTGCGCCCTGTCTCAACTTTAACTCCCCTTTCTACCAATCGAACTGTCTACTCCAGCTCTCGAACGTCGCCCTCTTCCCCCTCTGGCCTCGCCACACAGCAGTCTGGCACCCCCCTTCCCCACTTCACTGGCCCGGCACTGCTGTGTTCTGGCCCCGCCCCATGCCAGCGTTAGGCGCCCCTACCTACACCGGCTCGTTCGGACCTAGCCCCGCCCCCACGTCACACACACCCCGTGTGGTTAACTAACTCCGCCCACCGGAATTCTGGCCTCCCCTACAAACACCCTAACCCCGCCCCTCATGGGACCTGCCCCCTTTTCCATACATACAACTGCCCTTTTAGGTGCCCTGAATTCTAACAACACGCCCCTAGGCTCCAACTCCGCCTCTCACCCCAATTATGTCCCTTCCCCCAGCTTCAATTTCTCCCTCTCCCTAGGGCCACTGGGTCCAGAGTGGGCTCCGGGTAGAAGAGAACACAGGCTGGAGATCCAGATAAACCCGTTCCTGCCACCCCCTCCCCATCAAGGCGGGGAAGCTTCAGGCCCCTCCCAGCAGCGTCTTCAGGAATTTGGGGAGGCCTGCGGGGGGGAGGGGAAAGGAGGAGATGTATCAGGGGGTTGGAGGAAGACCCTTTCCTCCCACGTCTTCCGCCACGGAAAAGCCCGCCAAGCGCAGCAACCCAGACTGCCCCGCCAGACACAGAGCTCAAAGGTTAGCGGAAGCACTGTGTTTAATACAGATGGGACTGGCGCCCGTCCGAATCAGTCGAGTCCTTCGGAAGAGTCATCGGCTATTTGCTATACCCCACATGTAAACTCCTGGAGGCAGGAAATTCGGCCCGGGGACTGGCACCTAGCCACCCATAGCCTCCACGGGTGGCTAGCTTGGAGGTGTCTCAGTCATCCCGGTCCCACGATGTCCCCCATTTGTGGGGCCCGGACCGAGTTCTCACAAAATTCAGACCGTTGCCCAGGCCCCACCCGGGGCAATGACCCCGGCTCCTCCCCCCTTATATTTAACCCTCTCCTGGCTGGAGTGCGGCAGAAGCAGAGAACAGAGGAGCAAGGTGACAGGTTAGTGCAGAGCGTGGAAGCCGCGGTCCGGTGGGCACGGTCAGCGGGCAGCCCCCGGTGGCGGTACTGCCGCCACCACCTTGCAGAAACGCACCCTCTGGAAGTCGGTGATCTCCGCTGTCTCCTGGCCCTCGGGGCCGGCCTCTGGGGAGAAAAGGGGCGATCAGCGGAGGGGAACAGCCTCCCCACCTCCTCTCAGTCCTTGGACACCCTCCCCCCGTGTAGCCCAGCCCCTCTTCCCTAGAGAGCCAGGCTGCAGGCAGAACCGCACTAAGCGGTTTACGGCCCTAATTCCTTAAATCCTCTCAGTTGACCCACGAAGAGGCATACACCACCAACATAACCCTGTTTACAATCACTGAAACGCTGGTGTCACGAGATCACGGTCACCCTGCCAATACAGAGTAAAGACCGAGCGCTTGGGCCCCTACCCCACCCGCCAACCCAAACTCTTCTTCAGCCCCAGCCCCAGCCCACAATCCTAACCAATCTCCATCAAGAGAGCACTACAGGACCAGCCCTCCCCCTTCCTTCCCCACCACCTGACATCTAACCAACCCTTCCTTGGCTCTGCCCCCAAATCCTAATCCCACTCCTGGGGGAAGGGAGACAGCCCCCTGGTTCCAAACCTGGTTCCTACCAAGTGGAACTAGGCCCAGCCTCTTGCTGCCACTCCAATGGGCCCCAAATTCTCATCGGGTCTGCATTTCTAGTCCAATTTACCCCACTCTGTTGCACCTCAAAATTCTAATCTCCCCCACAGCTAAATCCATTATTCTCTTCCCCCTCATCCTCAGGAGGCCGGTGGGCAGGGGCTGGAGTCTCAGGTGGCTGTGGGGAACACAAAGTGGTCAGGGAAAGGATGAGGGCCCTGAGCAGCCCCACACGCCCCTGCCTGGGGCTGACAGCCCTGTCTTACCTGTGTGGATGTCTCCTCAGGGGAAGTGGGCTGTGGGGCCTCTGAGGCTGGAGACAATGCCTCTTCTTTTGTCTCCCAGCGGTCATCATGGTCACTGGATGGGACAAAGGAAAGGGGTGAAAAACAGGTGGAGGGTGGACGGGAGGCTGGGGCTTCCTACCTCCCACTCCTTGCCAGTGAGCAGCTGCCCAGAGAGGATCTGGCATGTTGAAGCATGGAGAAGGGAATGGTAGATGCATGTCCCCAGGTGTCAGGGGACAGAAAAGATGGAAGGGGGACCAGGTGGCAGAAGGGGAGATGGGTAGGAAGGAAGAAGGTGACAGATGAGGGTAAAGCTAAGAGCCAGCCAGACCCAACCCTCCAAACCAAGTACCTATGAGACAGGGCCAAGACAGAAAGAGACGGGGACAGACAGATGCACCAAACTTACACATGCAAGTCAGAGAAGAGAACACCCCAGAGACAAAGCCACGCAGCCACTGGGGCTATGAACATGCCAGGGGAAGGAATACCCCCACCTGTAGGCATGGGAGGCTGCCTTGGCCTGGGATCGGATGCTCTTCCTCCTCCTGCGGCTGCTGATCTGAGCTTTGTGCTGGGACAGGAATTCCCCAAAAGTGGAGGGTTTGGGGGGCCGGGCCCAGGCCTGTTCATCTACAACAGAACCCAAGAGTCAGGGAGAGCAGCGTAAACCACCTCCCCACCCCCACACCCAGCCGGCTGCCTCACCCTGTCCAAAGATACCCACACCACTCACCATAGCAGTGGGACACTTCATGCGTAGCAGTTGGGCCATCCTTGAACCTGGGGAAAGAAAACAGGAGTGAGCAGGCAGCTGGGGGAACAAGGGAGCCAGAGGAGTGTGAGGAGAGCAGGGGGAGAGATGCAGGCCAGGGTCAGAAATCAGATCAGAAAGGGTGGTCAGCTCAGTTGGTTAGAGCACAGCCTTATAACACCAAGGTCAATGGTTCAGATCCCCATACCAGCCAGCTGCCAAAAAAAAGAAATCAGATCAGAGAAAGACAGACGGCCAACCAGAGGGGGTCACTAATTAGGGGATTGGATCAGGTGGCAGACGAGAGGCAAAGCAGACATCATAGTCACAAATACAGAAAGAAAAATGATTCAGAATTTGGCCCCTAAAAAAAAAATTTGGGGGGGGTCACCACAGACCCTTGTCAAAGAACATGATCCCCAGTTCCCTGTCTGATCTCATTTCCTTTCACTCTCACCTCTCCAGCTAAGCAGGTTCTCCTACCACATCTAGCACCTGCCTCAGAGCCTTTGTACCTGCTGCTCTTGGAACATTCTTCCCCATACCTTTCAGTGACCCCCTCCCTCACCTCCCCCAGGCCTCAGCCCAGAAGCCTTCCTGAACCCCCTTCTAAAAAAATAATATTTTATATATATTTCCTAAGTCTAAAATAATAACCCCCATCCCTATCTCCTTACTCCACTTCATTATTCTTCACAGCCTGACATTAGATCTACTCATTACCCAGCTTTCCCACTAAACTTTAAGTTCCGTGAAGGTAGTTGTTCACTGCTGTATCTCCATCACCTAAAACCACCTATGACACATAAGAAGAACTCAATAAATACTTATTGACAAATTGACTTCTTTAGGGATACATTTTTTTTTTTGGCCAGTATGGGGATCCGAACCCTTGACCTTGGTATTATAACACTGCACTAAAAACAACTGAGCTAATCAGACAGCCCATACTTTCTCATTCTTAAGTCTGAGAATGTCTCCCAAAAAGCCCAGCTCCCTATACCTTAGAAAGATCAGATCTGTGCAAAACATTTCACGCTTACACAAGCATGGCTCACAATCCAGGGGAAAAAAAGCTCCCAACAGACTCCTTTTTTCTTTAGCCAGAGCCATCGATAGATTATAGGTGTACGAAAACTTCCAATGCAGCCACGGATGGTATAAAACCTAAAGTTGCTGATCTTTACAGACTGCCATTCGTCAGCTCTTCCAGAATGACTATGGAAGTTGGTCCTCATGACAATGATACAATGTTGCCTTTGCTTTAAGTCTGACTGACTGGATGTTTTCTGGGACCCAAAAGGGAACACAGTCAGTCTTGAGGATAACAGTACCACTGGGATAAGATGATGGTGGCAAGCACGTAGAGAAATTCAGGGATCTTGGTTGGTGAGAGACAGGTCAGGACAGAGGAAGGGTGCAAAGGTCTAATCATTGTTGGCAATTCCTCATACCCTCCCTACATCAGAATTGACATCCACACTCTTAGCCACATAGCCACTGCTATACCATCCCCAGGAGTGCAGAGTTCCTTCTCCCGCCCCACGAGGCTGGGTCTATTGGCTAACAAAATGCGGAAGTGTATCCACTCGCCTGCTCACGTATCTGCCAATGCCATGACTAGTGTATCCCCAGATAGCTGCTGCCCTCAGCCAGGACCCCAGAATGAACACATGTGGAGCAGACCTGCATTCAACCAGCACCAAGGAGCCAGGCCCAGAGGGACCTGCCACTTAACATACAGCCTAGGGCCGGCCCGGCGGTGCACTCGGTAGAGTGCGGCGCTTGGGAGCATGGCGGCGCTCCCGCCGAGGGTTCAGATCCCATATAGAGACCGGTCCGCTCACTGGTTGAGTGCGGTGCGGGCGCGACACCGAGGCTTGCAATCCCCTTGCCGGTCGCGGTACGGGTGCCACACGGAGGGTTGCGGGGGGAAAAAAAAAAAAAACATACAGCCTAGATCACCCAAGCCTAGCTGACCTGTGAAAACATGAGAAAGAAATGCTTTTATGTGACACTGAGCTTTAGAGCTGTTACACAGCATTACTGTAGCACTCGCTCAGCTGGTGCTACTGATACACAGGGTGAGAAACCAGAAAGAAGCAAAGCAAGTAGAAATCTGGGCCAAGGTCAAGGAGCCAAATGGGTGAGCAGGGAGCAGACTCACATCCCATCAGTCTTCTCAGCATCCCACTCCCGCCGCCACTGGCCAGTGGGCTTGCGGTGTCTCTGCAGCCGCTCCTGGTCAATCTTCTCCCTCTCCTGCTTCCAGCGCAGGTACTCCGACCGCTCCCGGCCCGTCATGGACAGCGTCATGTCACCAGCACCGCCCAGGGCAGCCCGGCGGCCCTGCCCCCAACAGGCAGTCAGGGCCCTGTTCCACGTCACACCTCCCATCCCCCAAACTCAGATGTGGAGCCACTTGCACAAGGTCACACAAGGAGAAGGTGACAAGGTGGAGATGAAAACTAGGTCCACTCAGATCTGTCTCATACGTACCATCCCGCTGTCCTCTACCCCCTCACCTTGCTGGCTTTTCCTTCACAACATTTGGCATTACCTGACATTTTATTGTATTTCAATTTATGTAGCCCTAGCACAAAATAAAACATACTACAAATCCTTAACAATGAATATCCTGTGCTATCTGTTTTGCTTTCTGCTGTGCCTGGCACATGGTCCACGGAGAGTCCACATAGGGACACTGACTGCCCCAGGGTGCCCAGGCTGACAGTACCCACCTGCCGCTCGTGCTCAAGGCCATAGCGCACCCGCTCGAAGTCAGGGCCCCCCCAGTTGCGCCCGTGCCTGCGGCTACCCTCCCGGCGGTCCCGCTCAGGTTCCTCCAGGGGCCCACTGCGCCGCCGGGGGTCATCCAAGAAGTTCCGCACCGGATTCGGCTCCAGCACCCCCTCCTGCAGGCAGGAGAGCAGGGAGTTGGCAGGGTCATGGTAGCTCAGGCAGCTCTGCCCCACCCTGGGGGACGCCTGCGGTACTGACCCGCTGGTTGCGCTCGTACTCTGCGATCTTCTCCATCTCCTCGTTCATCTTCTCAATGTTCTGCCTGCGCCGCTCCTCCCACTCCTGGGGATGTGGGGAGAAAGACAAGCACACCAGCATCAGGAAGAGCTACTCAACCACTTGTGCAGAAAAGGGTTCCCACAGCAGACCTGACACAGCTCTCGTCAGACTGGCCTTCCGGCAAGGTGAGCACTGGGCTGGTGTCTGGGCATCTGCTCTCAGTGTGTTCCCAGTCAACGGTGGGAAGAGCTACTCAACCACTTGTGCAGAAAAGGGTTCCCACAGCAGACCTGACACAGCTCTCGTCAGACTGGCCTTCTGGCAAGGTGAGCACTGGGCTGGTGTCTGGGCATCTGCTCTCAGTGTGTTCCCAGTCAACGGTTCACTGATGAGGGTGGCTCACTGTGCCCAGACTGTGCAAACAATATGGTACATGCTGCACAGCCGCTTTCCTCCTGGGAGTCTGGAATTTTGGTACATACCAGGCAGAGGGAGCCTACGTGACCGGCTTCCAATAAAAACCCCAGACGTCAAGTCTCTCATGAGCGTCCCTAGTAGACATGTGTCGTCACAACTCAATGCTGGAGGAATTAAGTGAGCCCCTTGTGACTCCACAGGAAGAGGACTCTCAGAAGCTTGCACCTGGTTTCCTTTGGACTTCATCCTATGCACCTTTTCCCCTTGCTATTCTGCTTTGAGTCACTTCACTGTGACAAATCTGAGCCCTGAGTCCAACCATATGCTAAGCCTTGTGAATCTTCCTAGCAAAGCACTGAACCAGTGTCAGGTTGTTGGAGGACCCGATGCACCACACTTGCCACAGTAATAATGACGGTAATAACAGTAATAACTTGGCAGATGGCTAGGGGACCACCCCCCAATCTGTTTTTCCCCTCTTCCATGGTAACAAAATTTTAAGTGAGCACATGGCCAACCAGCTGGAGAGGACATTTTCATTCCCCAGTCTCCTTTGCAGTTAGGTGTGGCCAGGTGTCCAAGTCCTCACTGATAGAATATGAGAAGTGATAAAATGCACTCCTTCCTCCCCTTCTAGTGAACTGGACCTCCGCTGTGTCAGCAACCCAGCTTTTACCACACAATGACCATGGCCTAGGGGACAATCTAGCAACAAAAGGCAGGAACCTCGGTCCCTGAGTGACATCATGAAGCTGGGCCTCCCTACACAGACTGCTCACCTCACCATCAGGCCTGAGCACACAAGAAAGAAATAAACTTCCACTCCATTTAGACCATTGCATTGGGGATTTTTTTGTTATAACAGCTTAGCATGCCCAAAGAATAAGCCTCCAAATTTACTAAATGTTTACTCTGAGGCCTTTGACACCTGACAGCACAGAATGCTCACAATAATCTTTAAATCTAATTATTCCCATGTAAGAGCAAGAACCATAACCTCACAGAGGGGAAGTGAGCTGCCCAAGGACAAATAACTAATAGAGGTAGGTCATACCCAAGTCCATGGTGAGCTATAAGCCACTATGCTGAAGAGCCTCCCGCCCTGCTGACCTGTGCATCAGGGGCAGGAAGAGCAGCTGTAATAAGATCCCTGCTCCCCATAAACAAATCTAGGGATCGAGACAGACATCAACAGAGAGAGAGCACTGCACAGAACCCATATGTATACATAAGCACACCAGATGGCGCCAAATAGAGAGGAGAGAGAGACAGGGAGAGAGGGTGAGAAGGCAAGCATGCACCAGAAACAGTGAGGGAAAAGAAGACATAGGGGAAGAGACAGGGAGAGAACACATAAGCACTGGTCAGGAAAGGGGAGGAGAAGAGAGAGGGAGGAAGAGAAAGAGCAGATGGAGGGGCTGAAAGATGGACAAACAGGAAAACAGTCCACTTGAAAGTAGGAATAGAAACAAACAAGACAACAGAAAGCCTCAGTCAGAGGTTTCAAGCCCTGCCCAGCTCCTACCTTGGATTTGCGGTCGGAGGTTGAAGCGTCTCCAGCCCCAGAGAGATGAGGGGACCCCCGGCCCCGGCCCCTCCGGCCACGACCCCCAGCTCCTCCTCGAGGCTGCTCCCCAGGACTGTCCTCCCAGCTTCGGGATGCCCGGCCCATGCCTGCCCGGCCTCCCTGCTGTGGGGGGGTCCGGTGTCCCTTGCTGGCCCCTGGGAGCCGAGGGGTCCCAGGAGACCTCCGAGAAGAACCCAGGCTCTTCTCCTGGAAGAAAGGGGACGGGAATAGTAGAGGGGCAGGGAAACTGGGACTCCCCAGGCTCAGAGAGGGCAGCTGCCAGGATTGAGACAACCCATAGGCCTAGGGCAACTGGAAGGCTCCTGGGCCCCAGGCCTCCACCCCCTCTCCATCTTCAGGAGTCCCCCACCATGGTGATGAGCTCACCACCTCAACTGTCACATTCTCCTTCTCCATCAAGCGGCCCTTCCGGGGAGCTGTTACCGCCACTCCTTCGAGTTCAGCTTTTTTACGATCCTCCTCAATCTCCTAAAAGCAAATATTCAGAGTAGGGGAGTGTCAGGGATCCTGTGTGCCAGCTGGACTCCTGCAGTACACTGAATCCCTCCTAGGTCTGGCCCCAGCCTAGCCCTCTCTCGAACTCTAGAAAAGAAAGCTGGTCATCTCAACATCTTCCCTCAAACCTACACATCTCTGAGTAAGAATAAAGGCTTTCCCTCAGCTTGTCGAACCCTACAGGACTTGGCTTCATTACCTCCTAGAGAGTCAAATTGCTCCCCTGCCCAGAGCCCTCTTATAGTACACATCTCTGAGTAGAATAAAGGCTTTCCCTCAGCTTGTCGAACCCTACAGGACTTGGCTTCATTACCTCCTAGACCTCATCTCTTACCTTCTCCCCTTCGCTCACTCTGGCCTCCTCACTGTTCCCAGAACGTACCAGGCTCAGACCAGGACCTTAGCAACAGCTGCTCCCCTGCCAGGAACACTCTTACCCCACAGAGCCTTCAACCTCTCACCTCCTTCAGGTCTCTCCTCAAATTTCCCTTCTCAGCGAGGCCTTCCTTGACAACCCTATAGAAACCAGCTGCCCTGCCACTCTCTCTGTCCTAATCCCCGGTCGCTACCTGGCATATGTGCACTGTTCTTATTGTCTGCCTCCCCACTGCAACAGAATCTTCCCAAGGACAGGAATATCTGTCTGCTTTGTTTATTGACGTATGCCCCAAGCCTAAAACACTGCCTGGCACATAATAGAAACTCAATATACTTTTTGTTTTTAAATGAATGAACACATGAAGAATGACTAAATGAAACCCACTCCTCCCAGGTCCTATCTCAGGGACAGCTCACCACTGACTCTTGAGCCTTGTCCTGGACTCTCCCTCTTCTCCACACCCCCATCGCTACCATCAGTCACTCAGTCTCTCTACAGCCCTGCCCTGAGTCAGCCAAGCATCTCCTCTCCCCCAGGGTCCCTGCCCCAGGTTTCTCCTTAGTCTCCAGTCTCCAGTATCGCCTCCTCCCATCCACTACCACAAAGCAACCACAGGTCTTCCTAGAAAGCTATTCTGACTTGGTCCCACCCCTGCTCAAAGCCCTTCATAGTTCCCCAGGTCCTCCAGAGAAAGTGCAAACTCTCAGCTTCGTGGCATTCAGGGTCCTGCCTGGCTCAGCCCTTGCTGATCTCCCCAAGTCAATACTCCCCCAACTAGAACATAGCCTTATAACACCACGGTCACAGGTTTGGACCCCCATATCAGCTAGCCACCACCACCAACAAAAAAAATCTCCCCCAACTGACCCTTCAATTTTAAGCTCCAAACTCTCTTGCTTCCAAATATTTGCATAAATTGTTCCCTCTGCTGGCAACATGTTCCCTCCTCCTTTTCAACTGGCTAACCTCTACTCACCCTTCAGGTCTCAGAGTCCCCTCCTCCAGGAAGCCCTAATGTCCCCCAGGCTGGATTAGGAGCCCCATCTGCACTCCCAGAGACCCCTGAAGTTCCCCATTCCACTTTTCCACCCTGAGTTGTCAATGACTAAGGACAGAGCTGTCTCCCTGACTAGACTATAAGCCTTGGAAGGGCAAGCCTGTAGCGACTCAGTTGGTTATAGCCCCAGCACCATTCAGCATAGTGCCTGTTTCACTGAAGACCTTGTTGAATAATTGTGAATAGATGAATGAATGAATGATGGAATGAAGGAAGGAATGCCAGGCCAAAGCCTTTGGCTTTTATCCCGAGAATGATGGGAAGCCATGAAAGGGTTTTAAGGAAGGGAGAGGTGAGAAAAACTCACTGCGGGGAGGAGAGGGGATGGGGTCTCCCAGGGCGGGGCTAGGGCACCTGGTAGCGCCGGATGAGGGCTTCATTCTTCCGCCTAAGAGCCTCAATCCTCTTGTCCAATTCAGCATCCTTCTCCTCCTTTGATTTCAAATCCAGCGTGGCTGCCTGAGACGAAGAGGCAATTGAAGGATGGAAAGAACCTCTACCTCTCCCAGGACCATTCAATCCAAGGTCTGAGAGTCGGCCCCCTATATCCCGTCCTCTTAAGTCCCCTTACCCAAAGATCGGATTCTGGAGCCCTTAATTTCCATCTTACCATTTCGCTGGCTGGGTGGGGCCGGGGTCCCACCAAACTTCCCCTGCAGAATCTGGATGCAGCACTGGGCGTTCCTGAGAGCAGAGGTAACAGAAGAGCTATAGTCAACGGCCCCCAATCTGCTTCTCTCCCATGTTGGGGACTCCTCACACAGACACACAAAAAAACCCGTACCTCAAAGGAATTCTAGCCCTCACTCTTGCTCCTTCTTCAACTGCTAGTCCCGCCCCTTCCCTGGAAAAATTGAGACTCTGCCCCCTCATGATCTTTTTGGAGGAACCCACTTCCCATGTATAAACTACGTAGTCAAACCCACCTTAGGAATGTTCTAGCCCCACCCCACTGCTTAAGGAAACATTCAATACTGCTACCTTCCAAACGAAGATTCACATCCCCGGGACCCCTGTTTCAAGAGAGCTTCATACATCCCCTCCCTCCAACCTAGACAAGAAGGTTCTAGACCCATCTCTCAGTGCCCATTCTGGTGCAGCTCACATCTGGGTGAGCATTCCAGCTCAGCCAGGTAAGCTTCAGAAACGTCCCCTAACCCACAGGAAAAAAGTTCGAACCCAACTATTGGCTGCCCGGACTTTCAGAGAGCACATTAAACCTACTCCTCCCTTGAGGACGTCCCAGCCGCGCCCCAGCATCCTGAGAAAGGTACGGCCACCTCCCACAAAAAATATTCTGAAAACAGGCCGGGTACCCACTAGCGATGTTTCCTGGACCCCCCCAGCGAATACGCTAACTCTGCCTGGCGAGTACAAAACTTCCTAGGCCCGTCCCCAGCTTTCCAGTGAAAGGTTCCAACCTCGAGCCAGCTGGGAACGCCATCGCCCCGCCCCGCCCCCAATGGCTCGGAAAACGCTTTGGCCCGGCTAGGGCAAAACTTACTGGCCCCGCCCACACACTCCCGTTATTAGTCTGGTCCCCTCCGGACTTTATCAGCCCCCTCTCCGGCCCCGCCCCCCAGGCAACAGCCGGAACCCGCGCCTCCTTGCCGGCCCCACCCACGGCTTGCCCGGCCACCCCTCTGGCCACGCCCCCTGGCTGCGGCCCCGCCTCGGTATCGCATCAGGACCTGGCTCCCTCCCACCCAGGCGTCCCTAGCCAGGGTTCCGGCTCCTGCTACCGGCTTACCCGCCAACACTGTGGCCGCGCCGCTGCCTCACACAAAACTTCCTGGCTCCACCCCCAGCATTCTCCCGCCAGCACCCTGACCCCGCCGCTGTCTCCACGCCACATTTGGGCCCCGACTACGCCTTAACATCGATCTCCGGGGCCGCCCTGACCCCCCGGCAACGATCTGGACCCACTCCCAGCTCAACGCAAACTTTCTGGCCCCGCCCCCGGCACTTCCGGGCAGCGTCCAGGCCCCACCCCTCTCTCAGGGCAATACTTTTGGCCCCGCCTCCAGCCGAGGCACAACTTTTCGGCCCCGCCCCCCGCTGCCCCCCCACGCTCCAGCCCCGCCCGCAGCCCGGCCTTCCCCAGCCCTGCCCACCCACTAACGTCCCGCCCCGCCAGCGCCCCTCCGGCTTCCCATGTGGGCGTCCCTCCTCAGAGAGGCCTTCCGTGAAACCTTACATTTAAGAATTGCAAAACCATCTGAGACAGACACATAAAAATAAAATAAAACTAAAAATTGCAAAACCTTTCATCGTTTTCCCCCTTCCCAGCTTTATTTCTCTATTTTATCCTTCAACTTCTAAACTGCCATATCTTTTATCTTGTTCATTGTCTGTCTCCTCTCTTACATTGTCTGTTTTATACCTTATGTCCGCAGTACCTCTAACAGGGCCTGTCATGTGTAGGCTTTCAAACAGCACTTGTTCAGTGAATGAGTGAATCTTTATTATTACCATTTTCTTCCTTTCTTGTAAAACAAAAAAGAATTCCATATCTTTATATATGCAGTGGAATTCTGTATCTTTAACTTAACAATGGATGATTAACACCCTTTTAAAGGCTGTATGATACTCCATTCTATAGATGGGCCATAATTTGCCCCACCTGATCTCATGGACATTTTAGTTGTTTCCAACTTGGGGGGATTGCCAACAATGCTGCACTGAACTTCTATAAGCAAGCATCTTTTTTTTTTTTCCTTTTTGTCTTTTTTCGTGACCGGCAACGGGATCGCAACCCTCGGTGTCGCGCCCACACCGCGCTCAACCAGTGAGTGGACCGGTCTGTATATGGGATCCGAACCCTCGGTGGGAGCGCCGCCGTGCTCCCAAGTGCTGCACTCTACTGACAAGTGCTGCACTCTACCGAGTGTGCCACCGGGCCGGCCCAAGCAAGCATCTTTCTGAGTGCATGATCTGTAATCTTGCTTGAAAGGGTACATAGTGTCAAGATTAACACGTGGGTTCCTAGTTCTTTCACTTATCAGCTGTGTGACCTTGGGCAATATACAAAACTTCCCTGGAGGGTCTCGTTGGTTAGTTCAGTTGGTTAGAGTGCCACCTTATAAAAACAGGTTTAGATCCCTATACCGGCTAGCTGCTAAAAAACACGAACACAAAAACTTCTCTGGACTTCAGTTTCCTCATCTGTAAAATACAGATAGTAACCTCTATCTGTTAGGTTTGTTATGCAGAATTCAGTGAATTAATTAATTGATATATGTAAGGTACTGGCAGAGGCCTGACACATTAAGTTCTCAGTAAAAGGAGACCATTTTTATGGAGGGTTAGGTTTTGGGGGGGGAGGGTTTTTTTTTTTTTGCTGCTGCTGAGCAGTATGCGGATTTGAACTCTTGACTTTGGTGTTATCAGCACCATACTCTAACCAACCGAGCTAACCAGCCAGCCCTATTATGGCTTTTAAGAGAAATTTCTGGATCAAAGATTAATTCACATTTATTTTTAGTGGACAGTAAAAATGCACAGAGGCAGACCCAGGCTGTATGAAGCCTGAAGCTTATACAAAATTGGAAGCCATCTTTGGGAAAAAGAATAAAAAAGTATAAGTTACAAGACTGCAAGGGCCTCTCCCAGGTCACCGAATGGAGCCATGGAAGTGTGGGCCCAGAGGCTTACGTTTCATTCATTTCACAATAAAGCCACCTCTGATGGTAACAGCATAGCAATGAAGTTGTGCCTACGTCCACTGCCTCAAGCAGGCCGGGGATATGTGCTTCCCCGTAACCTGACTGACACTGTTCATCACTTTTTGAGCTTTGCCAATCTGATGGTCAAAGTGAAATGACTTGATGTACTTTCACCTGCTTGTCCCTGATTAAAAAGTGAAACAACACTTCTTCTTGTGTTTTATTGGGAGTCAGGTGATCAGAGTGAGCCAGACCCTAAGAATCCCTCACTGGGGCACTGGCATTTTCACTGAAGCTCTCTGAGCAACTACAGGTGCCAAAGTTGTTATCTCCAGTTTACAAGTGAGGACAGGCAGGCCCAGCAAAGTCAAGGAATCCAAAGGTCAGCGAAGCTGCTGCGGGCCAGGTGCCTGCATTGAGTCATGCCACAGGTTCAAGCCCCTGGTTCCTCACCTTGCTTGACCAGAGAGACAGTGTGGAGAGCAGGCAAGGTCATGGACTCTGGGGCCAGGCTGCCTGGCTCCAAATTCCAGCTCTGCCACCTGTGCTATGGGGCCCTGGGGAAGTTACTTAACTTCTCATCCAGACTGTGGTGGGGAGGAAGAGGCTGAATAATGGTTCCCAAAAATATCTGAAAGGAAAAACCCCGGCCCAAGCGCAAAATAAGACACACCAGGAGGCAGGGACTCAACTGAAGCGGATCAGGCAGGCAAAGTGAACAAGCGGGTGCCCTCTCCAGAGTGGAGCAGCAGCCGGGAGTCGGGTGGGCCTTTCATATCCAGTTAGGCTGAGCTGGACGGTTCCTATTGGCTAAGAAGGAAGGGAAGGGAAGTGAGTGGGGTTTAAGCTGTGCTGGGATTTTCTCACAGGCGGGCAAAATTGCGTGCGTGGCAAGGTGAGGTGGCAGCTAGGGGATATTTCTGGGTGGGGGTTTTCTGGGAAACTTTCTCAGGTGCCCTTTTGTGTATCTCGATCTTTAACACCATTTTACTTTTCTGGTGGAGAGTATATTAGCCAACAGTTAAGAGGGTGGGAAATCCTATTATGGTAATTGAAAGGTGGAGCCTTGAAGAGGGGATTGGACTGTAGGACCGTGCAGTAGTGAATGGATTAAAAATGGTGGTCAGGGGTCTGGTTCTGAGGGCTTTAAAAGAAGAGGAGAGTCTGTCTCTCTCTCTCTCTGCTCTCTCTGCTTCCACCATCTTGCAATGTGACCCCTGAGTCACTGTCGCCACCACCGGATGGACTTTGGACTTCTCAACCTCAGAAACTGTTGGCAATAAATTTCATTTTCGTTATAAGCAATATAAATGGACTAATACATGTAGGAAGGGTCTGCAAGCTGAGGAATGCAAAGAATACAGTTTTAGGAGTCAGAAAAGAGCCGGCCAGTTAGCTAAGTGGGTTGGAGCGTTGTGCTGATAGCACTGAGGCCCCAGGTTCATCCCTATTCTAGCCAGTCACCTTTAAAAAAAAAAGCTGAAAAGGACAAGGAAACCAATTCCCCGCTAGAGCCTCCCAAGGGGGCATGGCCCTGCCGACACCTTGATTTTGGCCCAGTGAGATTGATTTTGGACTTATGACCTCCAGAACCGCAAGAGAATCAACGTGCATTGTTTAACAAAGCAGTAGCAGGCACTTAGAATTGTGCCTGGCAGCGGTAAGAGTGTTGAACTGTTACAATTATTATTATCACCTGAAACTCCCCCTACCAAATGATGCCAGCTCATTACCTGCAGACAACATGCTACAAATGTCTGCTAATTTATTGGCTAAAGGCATGCTCTCTTTTAATCTGCATCACAAGGTCAAGGGTTCGGATCTCCATACCAGCCAGCTGCCAAAAAAAAATTTTTTTTTAAATTTTCATCACAATCCTTAAAGGTAAGTACCTCCTTTGTACCCATTTTACAGAGAGGAAAACAGGTTCCTCAAGGTTCCCCTGCCCAAGGTGTCACAGCTGCCAAGTGGCTGTATTAGTGTCCTAGGGCTGCCATAACAAACTGCCACAGACTGGGTGGCTTAAAACAGCAGAAGTTTGTTTTCTCATAGTTCTAGAGGCCACAAGTGCAGTCAAGGTGTGGGCAGGGTTGCTTCCTTCTGGAGGCTGGGAGGAAGAATCTGTTCCATGCCTCCTAGTGTCCGGTGGCTGCCAGCAATCCTTGGCATTCCTTGGCTTGCGGATGCTTCACTCTAATCCCTGTCTCCATCTCCCCACGGTCTTCCCCTCTTTATCCCTGTGTTTTCTTTTCTGTCTCTTATAAGGACACCAGTCATTGGAATGAGAGCCCACCCTAATCCAGATTATTCATCTCAAGATCCTTACTTCAATTACATCTGCAAATACGCTTATTCCCAAGGAGGTCACATTCTTAGGTTCTGGGTGGACATATCTTTTGGTAGCCACAGTTCAACCCGCTATAGCGGCACAGCCAGGTTTTCAACCCAGGCCCTGGGACTTGCCAGCCTCTGCCTAACCCAGCCCTCCGTAGAATCCTTCAAACAGAAAGAGGCTGCCCAGAGAAATCTTGGGCAGAGCTGACCTGATTGTGCCGAGGCACTGTGGGATGTGACCTCTGCTGACCCCTCCAGCCACATCATTCCCTTTCTTAGATCTTCATAGTCTATGATCTTACCCAGTAGTTCTCAACAGGGGGTGAGTTTTCCCCTTGGAGGACACTTGTCAATGTCTGGAGACATTTCTGGTTGTCTAAACTGGAGAGAAGTTTGCACTGGCATCTAGTGGGGAGAGGCCAGGGCTGCTGTTGAACACCCTCCAGTGCTCAGGACAGCCCCCAAAATACCCATCTGGCCCCAAATGTCAGTAGAGCCCAGGTGGAGAAGCCTTGCTTTATTTTATTTTATTTTTGTCTTTTTTTGTGACCGGTAAGGGGATCGCAACCCTTGGCTTGGTGTCGGTGTCGCCCGCACCGCGCTCAGCCAGTGAGCGCACCAGCCATCCCTATATAGGATCCGAACCCGAGGCAGGAGCGCCACTGCGCACCCAAGCTCCACACTCTCCCGAGTGCGCCACGGGGCCGGCCCGAGAAGCTTTGCTTTAGCCACATTGAACAATATTTTGGTACTTTGGGCTGGCTGGTCAGCTCAGTTAGTTAGAGCACAGCCTTATTACACCAAGGTCACGGGTTTGGATCCCTGTACTGGCCAGCCACCAAAAAATATATACATATATATTTTTTTGGTACCTTGAAAACAACACACTCTCTCTAATGTCTGAGCCTTTGCATAGGCTGTTCCTCCTTCTTGGAACA